ACACACACACACACACACTTATATGTATATATATATATATATATATACACACAATACATTTCCCTGTAACCAATCACGCATATGTGTAGATATGTAAATATTGTACATTTGGGAATGCAAGTAGACTTAAATTGATATCACTTAACAAACAAGCGCCGCACGTGTCGCACAAGCGAAATTATGTAAAAAGGCGGCTAGTTAATATGTATTTATTGCAGCATAATCTATCGGAAAATAGCACTCCCTTCTGGACTTTAGTACTCCTTTAAGGATGTAACAGTAATTGCGCATTATGAATATATTTTAAAAAGCTGTAGAAACAATACCGCAGAGAGGATGCTGATCCCAGCTGACCAGTCCGAAAACGTCTACTGTTGTGTTTGCCCAGTCGATCACGTTGCCATGGAGACTACAGAATGCCGACCAATCAGCTTCTATTTCAGGCTGAGACAGCACGCGGTCCCAGAGGTTCACCTGCGACAGTTCTCCACTGAACGCTGAAATCGCTTCGAATCCTCCCCCAAACGTGTCTTGGTCCTGTCCGAGGATCCAGATACCACCACTGCGCACTTTTCCTCCAACCTGAAGTCCTGATCCCGAGTTCCTGAGCACACCGTCAGTGTAGATTTGCCAAGCCCCGTCACTGCTGCGCCAGGTAACACATATGGCGTGCCAGCCGCCATCCAAAACCGGCAGGTAACCCATGTCAACTCTCGAATTTCCTACATGCACCTGGAGAAATGGCATCTTTATTAATTAATAACAGTTGATATTTCGCCAGCTAGGGAGATACAACTTATATTGTTTCAAGAAATAAAGTGTCCGGATAAGTGGGGTACAATCTGCACAACCTTTTACACAAGATCTCCAATACTGACTAATTATCGGAGTCCAGTAGCTGACGTGTGTTGAAACATGTCTGTAATAAAGTGATAAACTAACTGTCCAAGCATTGTACCTTTGTCAATAATTCATTTATAACTTTCCATGTACCACACTAATATTGGAAACAAACAGGAATGTTATCGAACCTCTACTTGAGCCATCCGTGCAACTTAAAAGTAGGGATGCATAATTATATGATATTAACAATATATCAATGACAGATAAGACGAATTGGAAAACATCACTATCAACATGTAATCGGATACTTACAAAAAAGTTGCCAAGGGATTCAAGGAGTAGTTCATTGGACGACTGTGGCACAGCATAGCTGATATAAGCGTTGAAAGTGTCGGAGGGCATGCTAGTGCGCATGTGCATGCACATAGTAAAGCAATCCAAGTCCTGAGTCAATGACGTCACCAGTCGAGCATAGTTACTGGTTGTGCGAGGGGCGGGGAAAATTATCTTCTGTGGGTTACCTGATTGATATGCAAAAAAAACAAGGTAAGGTATTTACATGTATGTAATAAGTGTTGACCTTATCACAAAGGTGTGGATAAGAATGAATGAATGATTGAATGATTGAATGAATGAATGAATGAATGAATGAATGAATGAATGAATGAATGAATGAATG